CCATTTCATTAAAATGTCATATCAAATTGTACTATTTCGATCAAGTGATACTTTCCATGCCCGTTCTGCAAATACGTGTTCTTAAAAATATTTGGATAAGTGATATTAAACATATTAGTAAGTAAAATGAGTACTTTGTGATTGTTAAAAAATATTAGTTATAAATAATACATACATGAGTATATGAAGATCAAAATATGGTAAATAAATATATACATAATCATAAAAATGAGAATATGTTATATATGTATATAACTACTCGATGTAGAAAAATATAAATGTTCAGTAAGTGTATATAATAAATGCATTTATGCAAATAAATGTATAAAATACATTACTATATACAAACTATAAAACATTAATATGTATATATATCTATATAATATAAGTCATGTATATATTCGAATATACATATATATGTAAAAAATGCAAATGAAAATATGGAAACCTTAAACAAGCTTACAAATAACATTAATTACACATACATGGTGATTAAGAAGGCTAAAGGATATTAATAATAACTTGTAATTCTAAACTACAAAATCAACATCAAACCAGGATAATAATTAAATATCAAACAATATATATATATATATACTAACAATGAAAATAGCTCACAAAACAATATTCTAGATTTGAATATACAACGTAATTATAAAAATGACCAAAATCAAATAATATAAAAAACTAAAATGAATTGATAAAAAAACACACAATACTTAAACATGAATAAACTAAAGTAAGATTGCTAGATCTCAAATACAAGCATAATTATTCATATAAGCAAGTGAGGACGAAATCAAAATTCTCAACAACTAGTAAGCTCGAAATGAAAGAACGTAAAAACTTCATTATATAACCTAATTGTAGTTCTTACCAAATTTGAGGGACTCCAAGCGCTATTCTTCCATGCATCTATCACATGTTAAAAAACTAATATATGCTAGCCCCTCCCTTTTCTTTCTTCCGCTTCCTTGCCCCCCGTATCATTCCCTTCTTATAGCCCAAAATTACAATTATTAAATAATAATTCCCCCACACCACTTTCATTTGCTCCCCATTTTCCTTTTAATGCACTACCTTATTAAATATGGGTAGTGGAGTAATGAGTTCTGCATGTAATTACACTAATATGTTGGTGTGAGTTTCTAGGGTGTGGTGCTTCTCGTGGGAGCTGGAATTGGCACGAGTATGGGTTGCTGCAACCGGATCCGGGTCGGGTTGTAACCGAGTTGGATGTAACTGGGTCTTTATTTTGTGGGTCTACAAACATTGTAATTTTGTTTTAATAATAATAATAATAATATTTCATAATATTTTTTCGACCCGGACAAAAACAAGTGTCTACAGAAAGCATTGGATAGGATTAAGAACATATTAGAAAAAGTAGTGTGATTCTTAGAACTGAATATTCTTGGAAGATTTTAGATGTTTTAAGAAACTAAATGAATGAAAGTTGGTATGAATAGGTAAAGAAGAGTTTAATAGAATTGTATGGTGTAATTATAATGAAATTTAACCCCATTTGGGTGATAATCGGGTTGAAAACTAGAAATTCTGGGTATGGGTATCGATACTGATAGAACAGTACCGATACTACATGCTAAAATGGGATGAATATGCTAAGTAGTATCGATACTAATTCAATCGGTATCGATACCGAAGGGGTAATATCGATACCGAAGGGAAGGTATCGATACCAATTCAAAGAAGAATACAAAAATGGTATCAATACCATAGTAGAGTATCGATACCATAGTATAGATACCATGGTAGGGGTATCAATACTATGGAGTCAAAAATGTGAAGATAAGCTATGATTGTTATAGAAAATATAATAATATGTACTCTTGAGTAATGTTTAAGTATAATTGTTAGGAAATATACTAACAATTGATATTGTATGTGTCTTTATGGATGCTTGAGTAGATCGAAATCAAGCTCCCGAGTAAAACAAAACAAAAGGCAAAGGAAAAGTACCTGATTAATCAAATTTGTGCTTTGGATATAATAGTGAGACAATCTAGGTGAGTACATTATTGTAATTATTTGAGATGATGAAGATTTATACTGATTCAAATTAGAACGTTTAAATTAATGTATGTTCTATAGTATTGACTATGTTATTTATTATATGTATGGAACGAGTATTATGAATGAGTTTTAGAGTATGAAATACTCTAGAATGAATGAATAAAAGAAAAATACATGAAAGGATGCATTTTGGCATGAAAGGATGCCATAAATAAAATGCATGAAATGATGCATTAAGGCATGAAAGGATGTCATAAATAAAATGCATGAAAGGATGCCATAAATAAAATGCATGAAAGGATACCATAAATAAAATTCATGAAAGGATGCATTAAGGCATGAAAGGATGCCATAAATAAAATGCATGAAATGATGCATTATTGGCATGAAAGGATGCCATAAATAAAATGCATGAAAGGATGCCATAAATAAAATGCATGAAAGGATGCATTATTGGCATGAAAGGATGTCATAAATAAAATGCATGAAAGGATGCATTAAGGCATGAAAAGATGCCATAAATAAAATGCATGAAATGATGAATTATTGGCATGAAAAGATGCCATAAATAAAATGCATGAAATGATGCATTAAGGCATGAAAGGATGCCATAAATAAAATGCATCAAAGGATGCATTAAGTCATGAAAAGATGCCATAAATAAAATGAAATTTAACAAATAATTACTATAGAAAAATGAAAAGAAAAATGTATAGAAAGAAAGGTATGTTGGACATACTAAAGATGTTTATGATAAGAATTATAAAAGGAGTTTGGTTTCATTAATAGAGACATTTAATCCTTATAAATGATGCGATTTAGTTCAAAAACTAAGAAATTCATAATAAGTTTATGAATTTTCATATTAGTAGTGGGTGTGCAACCCATGTAAATTATAGAAATGTTTGGGGAATTACTGTTTTGGCACTACAGGTGTAAACTATAGAATTTATAATGAAATTAAATAGTTAATTGATAATATGTCTAATTATTAGAGTATGATCTGTTTAAAAGTAAAAGAATAATGGCTTAGATGTGTATTTTGCAGAAAAGTGTCAATCATGCAAGTTGGATGAAAGGCTAAATGCCTTTGGGTAAAAGACTAAATGAATTATATTGCATTTTGATATAAACGGTGTATAAGTGGTATGAAAGGATGCTATATATAATGTACATCAATGCATAATTGGTAAAATGGATGTCATAAAGGAAAAACGTAAACATTAAATAATGGGTGTGAAAGGATGGTCCAAAATGAAAATACAAAATGGTGTGTTGTATTTAAGGTGCCACCCATGATGATTATAAAAAATACATGATCAATTGGCACTTTGGTGCAATGCATTTATAGTAATTTCTCATTTAATGTACAAAGGGAAAATAAAGAATAATGGGGAAAAATTTACAGAAGGATAAGTACGTTGGGTCTACTAAGAATAATTTCGATAATAGTATGAAAGAATTATGGTTTAACTGAGAATGGCTTATCGGGTCCTTATGGATTATGAAATTTAATTCATCATTCAATAGTCATAAAATACTTATGTATAAAGTGTGCTATCTTTATAGTATTATGTCTCACTAAGTAAATACTTAACGTGTATTGTTTCCACACGTAGGTAAAAGAGGAGGCAAATTAAATAAGGACTGCACATGTAGCAGTAGATATCATCGGTTAAGGTTGACTCTCATCAGTAATGGTAGGACAATCATGTTTAGTTTAAACAATTGTTGGCATATAATCAAATTTTAAATAAAAATGCTCTGTAAAGTATATAAAGTGGACATTTTGGTAGTATATTTTCAATGACTGTTTTATCATTGTGCTAAAATATTTTAATTTAAATTTCGAAACAAACTTTTAAGGGTTTTCAAAATACAAAATTGTTTCAAAAGTAAGGTGACATCCAAATCTCGTATACAGAAAGGTATACGGGAGTTGAGTGTTACACCCGGGCACAAGTGTCTGACACCATGCTAACAAACTTAATAAAACAGTAAAACAAGAATATATTTCCTTGATCATTTACAACTATACCTCATTACCTCATTTATAACAATCTACACATAAGAATAATTCTGGAACTATCTTCTAACAAATTACAGATCACCATGACAGCTCATCATCAATAATAACTACTTGCAACTAATCCATGCAATGTAGGTGACTCATGCCATAGCATCTTTCCAATTCTTCATAGCTGCAACACTCCTCCACACCAAGGGCACCCATACTTTGCTGGATCCATTTCAATCCCTCTAGCTAATAAGAATTCTTTAATCGGAATTTCAAGATCAGCAACCATAGAAAGGGATTCGAGGGGGAACTTTTAATTTCCAAATATAATATGGTTTCCAAATATAACTGAGAACTCACCTGCTTTGTCTTGAATCTACACAATTTGCTCCTCCAAGCCCACCCTCAACTCTGTGCCACCCACTATACTAATTAACTCCTTCAGCTTCAAAACCTCCCTATCCAATAATGGTCTACTAAAAAGAACCCGCCAGTTTACATTCTTGAAACAATTGTTGTTAGCTACCTCAATCACCATCCTATAAAGTTTGCTAAACGGTACAAACGAGGGAAAGGCTAATTTAAAGGGATTGCACTACTCCAAGAGTCTTCCCAAAACATAATAGAACAGTCATTTCCAACCAGCCATCTAAAAGAGACATCACCCATCCAGCGTGATATTGCTTCACTCTTCAAATTTTTCACTATGCCTTTCCACACCATCGAAACATCCTTCAACTCTCCGAGCTTTGTTTTCCACTTTTGCAAGCCATCTCTGTACTTTAATTGAATAACCCTTCTCCATAATGCAGATTTTTCATTCGCATATCTCCAACACCATTTTGCTAACAAAGCCTTATTTTTTACACCTAGGTTAACTACTCCAGCACCCCCTTTCGACTTAGGTAAGCAAATCCTTTTCCAATTCACCTTTGCTAATTTTCCCCCTTCAGAGGATCCCCACAAGAAGTTCCTCCTTAATTTTTTTAATTTGTAGGACAATTGTTTTCGGGACCTCAAACAACGACATAAAATAAACCGGCAACGCTGACAGGACTGGATTTATTAGAACCACCCTTGCCGCAAAGGATAACCTTTTTTCTTTTCCATGTTGATAGTTTTGCTCGTATTTTTCCCACCACTTCTCCCACAGATCGACATGACGAGGATCAGCCCCAAGTGGAATTCTGAGATACTTGCGATGAAACTTACCCACTTGACACTCACATATCGAAGCTAGACGCTGCAATTTTGCCTCCTCAACTCTGCAACCAATTATTACAGACTTGCTGAAGTTGATGCTAAGACCTGAAAATAACTCGAAACATCTAGTATCCTTCACATTTACCAAAAAGTCTTCTCGTGCCTTCAAGAAAATTATTGTATCATCTGCAAATTGAAGGTGTGTGAATGACTGATTTGGGATTACATTTGCAATTCCACCAATGGCCCCATTGTCTTCAGCTTTGGCTAACATCAATTGTAGAGCTTTAGTCACCAAAATGAACAGAAACGAAGATAACGGATCTCCTTGTCTAAGCCTTTTGCACATCCTAAATTCCTTTGTGGGAGAGTCGTTAACTAAAATTGAGATCCTCGTCGTTGAGATGCATTCCCAAATCCAGCTTCACCATTTTCCTCTTAAACCCATCCTAAACATTACAAGATCCAAAAACTCCCATCGAACACAATCGTAAGCCTTTGAGAAATCTAATTTTAGCATGATACTCCGGGCTTCATCATTCTCCTCCTTCACTGTATGAATGATTTCACTTGCAACTGGGATCCCATCAAAGATTTGTTTGCCGTTTATAAAAGCACACTGTGTTTCGCTCACGATGTTTCTGAGGATAGTTTTAAGGCTGCATGATAACATCTTTGAAAGGATCTTGTATAGAGACCCAACTACGCTGATGGGACGAAAATCACCTATGCATGATGGGCAATCTGTTTTTGGAATCAGTGTAATGAAGGAAGCATTCACGTTTTTCTCCAATTTCCCTCTACAGTAGAAATCTTCAAACATGACCAATAAATCTTCTTTCACTATATTCCAGCATTTTTCGAAGAATGTTTATGTTAGAACCATCCGGGATGGGATCTTTCGAATCTTCACATTCCCACACTGTTTCTTTGATTTCTTCGATCGAGAATCGATCCTCCAATTTCTTCTCCTCTTCGCTAGTCAGCATCTTGAAGTCAAGATTTATATTTTCCTTTTATTTCCACTCTCGACTCGTACACTTGTAATAACTTCTAAAGTGATCAAGTAATTTGTTCCTTGGATTTTTTCGTTCTTCACACCACCTGCCCTTATTTTCAGGCATGCATTATCCTTTTTTTGCTTTGAATTTTTTTGCCTTGTTAAAAAGAAATAGTGTTCGCCTCTTCCTCCTTAATCCAAGTAATTTTCGATTTTGTCTCCATTCGGATTCCCATCGGTTCATCAACTTCCACATATCTCCTTTTAAATTTCACAAAATTTCCTCTTCCTCTGAATTCAAGTCTCGCCTCTCCCCCAACGCATCCATCTCTTCCATATTTCTTTGAACTGTACTTATCAGATTGTCTGAGTTACCCCAACTATCCACTTTCCACTTGTTTAAAGATCTTTTTATCCTTCTAAGCTTCGATGGTGCCTTTACCTCCAAGCAGTCTCCATTACGACTATTACACATTCTTTCTATTAACTCAAAGCAGTCTTTTCTAGATAGCCATGCAACAAAGATTTTGGATGGACGAGGGCCCAGTCAATTTCTCCAGAAACAATAAGATCGGAATATGATCAAAAAAAAGAATCTTGTTGGTATTTTACAGAAAAGAAAACTCAATAGATGAAGTTATGTTGTTTTTAATCAACAATCATTTAGGATTTAAATACAATGAAATCAACAATCCACTAACAACATGTTCCTAAATTTAAGCAACTACCCATGACTAACTTTCTCCTAAACTTAACAACACACAATTAACAAATAAACCTAAAAATAGAAATAGTCCTAAAGCTCATCAACTAACACTCCTCCTCCTTGCTTTGGGAGCTGCAAACACCAAGTCTTATTCTCAAAACTTCAAATTTACTTACTGACACGCGTTGTTTTCGCGTCAAAATAATTCCTTAATCCCCAAAGGAAATATAAAGAAAATATAGCAAGTGGAAAGTAAGGAATATTTCCTTAATCGCGTCAAATATAAAGGAAATAATTCCTTAATTTCTGATTTCGTTATTTTTTTTGTTTATGAATAGTAGAGTTTGGATAGAGATGAAATTTAAGATAAAAAATAAATAAAAAATTCAAATATAAAAATAAAAGGTGAGATAAAAATAAGATAAATTTGGAGTTTTGAAAAACTGTTTGAATATAAGATAAAGACAAATAAAAAATAAATAAAATAATAATTGGAGTTTAAAAAGAATACTTATTGTAAAAAGTAGCATCAGTTTGTCAACTTTGTCACAGTTTCCTTAGATCATCGAAATAGATCTCTACTTTAGCATTCACGCCGGTCACTTGTCTACAAGGACAAATCCTTGTGACTATGCTTTGTATACCGAATACCCAAGTGCAATATTTAATATCGGTTTGTGAATTGATCTAAGCAACAACAATGTTGTAGATCTAAAATCGTTGAGGCTTGAAAAGTTGTCGACTCGGATTATGTTATTTCAACAATAATTAGTTTCGATCTCAGTTTCCTCTTAGCAAACAATTTTGCTAAGTGTGTTCCCAGGATGTCGAATGTGGTTCAATAAGTCTATCATTCATCCCACGTTAACCATAATAACATCCAGACCAACATCGACTTTTTGGTTTAAAAGTTCCTTAAAATTCTAACGTTTGGAATTAAGCCATCGTTTTAGCCTTCGACTTAAAAAAATTAGCTAAGCATGACAAAAGTCATACTAAGCATGTCTAAAAATAAAATAAAAAATGAAAACTTGAAAAGAAAAGAAAAGAGAGAACTTTATAAAATTAGAAAGAGGAAGAGTAAATTCTCATTTGTAGCGATATATTTTTAGGCTTGCCCTGAGAGGGTATTTATAGCCTTCAAAATCCTATAAAAACAAGGTAAAGATAATTCCTAAAATAAATAAATAAATCCTACTGAAAATACTTAAAACTATTTAAACTAAAATACTAAAAACAAAGATAAAATATAATATAGTATTTAAAATAATATCCTAAAGCATGAGTTTAATTCAAATTCGAATTGCAGAAGCGTCTGGTCGATCCATTAGTTCTTCTAGAAGTGTTGACTGGACCTTCTAGAAGATGCTGACTCATCGCCTCGTCAGATGCATCATGACCAAAGTCATGCCCACTAATCCAGCTTTGATTCTGAAAATAAAAAACTGTAGAATCCTTCCCTTTAAGTGCAATTTCTAGAATCTAGTGTCATGCACTTCTCTCAAAAAGAAAAGTTTAATGTTGAAATGATTTGTCTTTTCATGAAACACTGGGTTGTGGGAAATTGCTATGGTAGATTGATTAGCAAAAAATATCATTGTGCTTTCTTGCTTGACAGTGGATGCTGCAGCGATAAATTCTTCCGAGAAAGTTTGATTAACAGTGGATGTTGTAGTAATACATTTTGTTTCAGTAGTGTGTTGAGTCACAATTTCTTACTTTTTCAAGCTCGATAAAAATAACCAGGTCCAAAACTAAAGCAGTAGCTTGAAATACTCCTAATGTAATAATAATGTGTTTGACCTTCATAAGGTTTATGACCATACCAAGCCTCATAAGATGTTTGATCCGTGATTGATTTTGTGGACAATCTATTATGTAGAAAAATCACGATATGAGTTGCCTCTGCCCCGAACTTCTTGGGTAAATTCTTTTCATGCAGAATACATCTAGTCATTTCTAAGATGTATTTGTTTCACCTTTTACTAACTTCATTTTGCTACGACGAATAAGGAGCTATCAACTGATGCTTAATGCCAGCTTCTTGCATTGAAATTTTCTAATGTATACTCCTTGTCATTATCAGACCTCAATATTTGAATGTGATTGCCACTTTGATTTTCCACCATTTTTTTTCCAGAATGCTCCAGCAACTTCTAACTTGAATTTTAAGAAGAAAATCCAACACATTCTTGTGAAATCATCAATAAAAGAAGCATAATATCAATTATCTACTAAAGGAGTTCTTTGAGGTCCAGAAATATCTGTGTGAATCAACTACAACTTACAAGTAGCTTTCCATGCAGACTTTGAAAATGACTTTATGTTTTGCATTCCAAATCGACAAGCCTTTCATGCCAATATGTGATCATCAAATTCTGGAAGATCCATTTCCATGCTTTTGGACTTCATCTTCAATAACCCTTGATGGTGATAGTGGTTGAGCCTTTTATACCACAACATTGTGAGGCTTTCTTTTGCTGGGAATGTCAATTGCTCCTCCTGCATCAGATTGAGGGAAAAACTTCTCCCTACCATCTTACCTTCAAACATTTTATGGCATGTAGCATTCTTTGTCACACATGTCTTCTCTATGAATTTCACTTTGAATCCATTCTTTACTAATTGACCAATGCTAAGCAGATTTTTATCAATATCATGTACATAAAGGACATCGGAAATAAACTTAGTACCTGAACAACTTGCAATGTCTACGATACATTTTCCTTTGACAAAAATGTATTCACCGTTCCCAATTATGACATTCTTGGACTCGATGCTCTTCAATTCTTTGAACAACTCTTTTTCATGAGTCAAATGATTAGTGCAACCACTGTTAATGGGCACACTTTAACTCGTTTCATTACTAGTGAAACAAGTTGCAACAAAAAGTTGATCATCCTCTTCTTGATCTGCCACTTGTGCTTCATCTTATTGCTGATTTTATACTTGCAAATAACAACTTTATGTCCCATCTAGTTACACATTGCATCGGTCTTCTCTAACACTTGAAAGGTGAATGGCCTTTCTTTCCGCAATGTTGACATAGAGGATAGTCCTTTACTCCTAGTCTTCTATTTCAATTTTTTTGTTCCCAAATGCAGAGTTTTCTCCATTCGCAGCGTGAAAATTTTTGTTCTTTGGCCTCCAGTTCTTTCCATCATCTTGATGCTTAACCGGTAGAGCATCTTCAATGGCCCCTTCTTCCCTAATTACATACCTTTACTCTTGTTCTTGCAAAGAACTTAAGAGTTCCGCTAAAGTAATCTTTGACATATCTTTTGTGTTCTCTAAAGTGGTGATGGTGGCCTCAAACCTCTCAGGTATTGTTACAAGTATTTTATACACAATCCTTGAATTTGCTAGAGACGAACCTAGCAATATGATCTTATTGGCTATGCTAACGAGTCTTTCAGAATACTCCTTGATTGTCTCGGTTTCCTTAATCTTCTATAGCTCAAATTCAAGTACAAGATTCAACACTTGCGTCCCGCGGAATTTTTCATCTCCCTCGTACTCAGCCTTAAGAAAATCGCATATCTCCTTTGCTGACTTTAGAGACATAATTCTGGTGAAAATAGTCGGTGATGCTACATCAAATAAGCATACTTTTTCCTTTTCTTTCCTTAATTTATTTTCTTTT